CAGCGGCTCCTCGGGCAGCAGCCGAGCCGTCCTGAGAGCCACATGGCACCGCACCAGCCATTCTCACCGGCAAGGGGAGAGCCTTCCTGGCACCCAGGGCGCTGCCTTCCCTGAATCCTCCGCGTTTACCCCTGAGGCCGAGAGCCAGCCGTTCCGGGGCGGGCGGACGCTGCACAGAGCAGCACTGTGGCCTGCTGTGTCCCATGGGGGCCGTGGTGGGGGCAGGACAGGCGTGGCCCTGCTTGGCATCTCGGGTCAGGAGCCGGTCAGAGCAGACCAGTGCGGGGGCCTGGGGCCACTCTCGCGTTCTATGGGTGTTCGTCCCCACCCGTGTGTGTGGTCTGGACCACGGTGACCGCGCCTGGCAGACCCCATGCAAGTACAGAACAGAAACCCGCATGGCCGTGGGGGGCCCCGTGACGAGCCCCAACAAACTGAAACCCAGAGGGGCCTCCCTCTCCCACAGTGATGCTGGGAAGGGCAGAAACCAGGCGACAGCCCGCATCCCCTCCCTGGGAGAAAAATCACCGTTCTGCTGACCTTCCTGGCTGACCGCACGCGGCATGTGGCAGGCGGCCGAGGGCTGGTACTTAATGTGTTCGCGACGCAGTTTACCTTGGATGCCATTCATGTCCGTTGACAGTTGAAAATAAAAATTATGTAACAAAATTTCATCTAGGGACTCGCAGAAACACCTCGGTCTCCCTCTGCCACAGTGCAGAGCAGCGGGGCGGTTTCTGTCCCACGGCCCAAGCGCGACCGAGGAGGGTTTTGGCTCTCCCGAGCTTTCTATGCAGGTCGACATGAGAGGTGCGACCCTCCCGCCACCGCCTCCCCGTCCCAGGGCCTCCGGGTGGCCAGGCCCACCTACCTGCGACTCCGCAGACGCCAGGGAAGCTGCTGCAGGACTCGCCGAGGCGGACGAGCGCGTGTCTAAAACAGCAAAGTTCTGTGTTAAGGACAGGCCGGTGCTCGTGACCATTGTCCTGATGGAAGTAGGACAGGTTCTCTTTTCCACGAGATTGTCGCGTCAGACCACGGAAGGGAGCTGAGCCGCTCGACGGACGTGCCCACGTCCCCGTGGCTGGACACAGCTCTCGCCAAGCACTGTGGAGGCCCAGGAGGGACAGACGGAAAGGCAGCGTCTGCTCTTAGGGCCAGAGGAGAAGCACAAGCAGGGGACGATCGGTTTGTCCGGTGGGTGACAAGGGACGAGGGACTGGCGGCTTGGAGGTGAAAGAGCACCTCAGGCCTCGGGGGTCAGCGACATGTCACAGAGGGTGCCAGCCCTTACTCGGGGTCTGCCTGGCGTAACGGGCCTCAGCAGGCACGAGGAGGGCACGTGGTGAGCACGTGCAGGGAGCAGAAAGCACGGAGGCTCAGACGGGTAAACGGCACCGAGTCTGGGCCGGAGCAGGGCGGGACTAGGTGGCCAGGCTGGACCGGCCAGGCATGCCGGGCTTCCGTGTGGAAGAGGACGGGGCAGAGCAGCCCCGTGTCTGGACGCCATCCAGGGTAGATGCTGTCACACAGGCCCAGCGGCTCTGAAGGGCAGGAGGGCTGCGGCTGGCCGGTGCACGTCCAGAGGCACACAGAGGGTGGGTGAGCCTGGGCGGGCTGGCAGGGCCCAGGTCTGAGGCGGGGAGGCAAGTTCCACTCTGGCCCCCTCTGACCTGGCCAGGCCGGCCGTGCTATGCCCAAGGCTGCACACCCGAGGGGACCCGCACGGGACAGGCACCAAGTCTTCACCAAAACGGGCCCCGGGGTCGGGAGAGTGTGGTAATTCTCAAACAGAATGGACACATGTCTCTTCCCGACTCGCTCAGGCGTGCTCTGTGGTCTCCTGAGGGGACTCCCAGATGCAGGCGGTGCTGGGTGGCTGGACTGACAGCTGGGCTCGGGGAGGGGCTGTCGACCCGCCCAGGTGGCAGGGAAAGGCCGATGCAGGCCCCGAGCAACTGGGCTGTGCTTCAGGTGACAGACGGCCGGAAGTCGGACATGCCCCACCCGTGCCCTTCCCTGGGTCATGTTCCTGCACACGCGTGTGCATGACCAAGGCCACACTTCAGAGGAGGCAGCAAAGCCGGAAGCGGCTGCCTGGGCCCTCACCGTCTGTGGCGGCCGCCGGCTCAGGCCTGCCGGGTAGCACAAGGTCGGGAGCTGGCACTGGTGAGTGTCTGCCACTCGGTCTTTGCAGGCCTCCGGACGTGTCGTGAACAACCTGGGAGCAACGACAGCCACAAACCGCCATGTCCTCGGGGGCAGCGAGCGCCTGGGTCGGGGCCGGAGCGGCAGGAGCCCTGTTCCACTATGGCCGCTTTGCAGTGGCTGCCCAGGGCTCTGCCCAACGTGCTGCCCAAGCTGCAGGGCACATCGTTTCAGGAATGCAGAAATGCGGCCAGCAGGTGGCATGGTGGTTAAGGCCCTGCGTCCCACACAGTTAACTTCAGGTTCGAATCCCAGATCTGGCAACTTGATAAGCATGCCAGCCGTGCGTGTGAGTGCCCACAGTGCTAAGAGATGGAGGGGAAGGGGCTGCAGCAGGGCCACCCCTGGGGGCGATTTCTCACTCTCTCTCGGGTGAGTGACTTGCCCTTTAACACATTTTCTTAAAGGCAGAGATGTACCAACCACAGAGCACGGTTGGCACGTTATTATTACTGTTTCATTTCTTCCAATTAGTTTACGTATTTTAAAGACATGACTAAAGAATTTTTTTTTAGAGAGAGATTTTTGCTATAGGGCACGTGCACTGGCCAGAGAGACAGAGAGACAGAAAGTGAGACCTGCCCCCCTCCGAGGGGATGGCCACACCACAGTCCCTTCTCCACTCTCCTCTCGGGATTTGGGGTATGCACGCACATGTGCCCAGCGTGAGTCTTAAGCCTCCGGGTTCAGGATGTGAATCATGGTCAAACACATGGGAGTCTAGCGGCATAACCATTACGCCACCTGCTGTTCTCAAGAAATTAAATGCTTTAATTTACAGAAACATGCCTGTTTTAAATAAACTACCTGGCCTATTTTGAAGAACAAATGAAGAACTCTTTTTAGAACTAAGTGGGATTTTATCTAAATCTGAGTTCTAATGCATCCCCTGTGAAAGTCACGCTGGCGCCCAAAGTTACCTCTCACCTCCAAACACACCAGCCCTCCTTCTCCAGGGGAGGCCTACATCTGCCTCGCGAACTTCTCCAAGTTCTTTCTCTGTCTCTCTGTGAGGTTGTTTTGTATGGGTGGGTTCTTTCTATCTTTAAACTTACTGGCTGAAAATAAAGGGGGGCATTTTTGTGCTTATAACAGTCATATTATCCCAACTCTCGAGCCCCCACTTGCTAGCCACCCCGGAATCTCGACGGTGACATAGGCATGCCCTATGTCTCCCTGGTCTGCCTGCAGCCTCTGCTCCTGGGTGCCCAGGAATGACTACTGATACTGCAGAAAACGTGGGCGCCATGGTCAAATAAAATGCTTCAAGATGAATTTTTCAAATGTATAAAAGAAATTGGTTTTTACTCTTTGCTAAATTCAAAGTGGATGGTTGGAACCAGCAGATGGCACAATGGTTATGTTGCTGAACACCCACATGGCTAACCACGGTTCAACTGCTCACCTGGCAACTTGAAACTCACATTGGGTGCGTGCCTGTGTGCCCAAAATCCCTAGGGAGATGGAGCAGAAGGGATTGCAGTGCGGCCATCCCCGCTGGGGATGACTTCTCACTTTCTGTCTCTCTGTCTCTCTCTGGTGAGCACACGCACCCTATAATAAAAATCTCTATAAAAAAGAGCAGTAGATGTTTTTGAGGTGGATGGTCACTCATTCAATTACTCGTCCGCTCCTACCTAAGTTTACTAAGCCATCCTACGGTGTAACTAGCTCGGGTCTGGGTGGTGCGCATGGCCATCTGCAGGTGGAAGAAGGAAATGGAGCTGCACAGGAACCCCACGACCCCAGGCCCCCACTCAGACCTGGGGAAGACACTTCTGTGCTCAATGGGGGCCTGGGTAGGAGAGTGCAGGCTCTCCATGGTCCAGATGTGGGGGCCCCGGGCCAGGAGAGAGCAGGTTCTCCTTCATGGACCCAGATGTGGGGGCCCGGGCCAGGAGAGAGCAGGCCCTCCTTTGCAGATCCAGATGTTCTCTGCTCAACAGTCACAGGAGAACACCAGGTGGTGTGCCCCCTCTGGAGTTGGGTGGAGGTATGTGTCTTCTTGGTCCACACTAACCCACATCTCGGGACCCTCGAATGTCCCTCCCAGGAGTGAGGACGACAGAAAGCCACGCTGGCTGGCTGAGCATGCTAAGAGGGGTAAATTCAGCACGGAGCGTGACAGAGATGACAGTCTCGCCTACACCCCGGCCCCAGCACGGCTCCATGCAGAGGGCAGCTGCCAAACCACAGCCACGAAACCAGCCCTGTGTGACCAGTGAGCCAGGCGTGCATGACACGTGAGCCGAGCGTAAGGAAGCCACGCAGGCTGTGGGCTGCAGTGACAGAGACGGGGCGAGAGCCCTCTTGACTGGCCAGCCCCAGTCAGGTGCGTTCATGAGCGCAGAGGAGAGCTGGGAGTCGGGACCTCTGCTTTACGGCGAGACTGCAAGGCCTCGGACGTGTCCAGAACTGCATCCACTCCTGTCCTTAGGAGAACGTACAGCTCGGGGACACGAGGCCCTCGGGGGAGAGCGGGCTGGGTGGGAGCCTCTGCTGCTCCACAGAGAGGAAGCACACGTCTCACCTTGGGCGGAGCTGCAGTTCTGACCCACCCACTTGGCCCCAGGAGAGCAGCACTCTGAGGCTTGCAGACAATACACTTTGGCCTTTCTTCTCCATCAGCAGACGGGGGTGCGATTCTGGATTCTAATACCTAAAAGGCAATTTATCACAAAACGCCTCAGAGGAAATGTTCACAGGTTCAACGGTATAGGAACTGTGAGCATTTCGAGTTTTAGCCCATTCTGTAATAACTGGCATGTCACGGGTAAAACAAGGTGGGAGGACGCAGACTGGGCGTGGCAGTCAGGAGCCCCCCTGGCCCTGGAGACGGCAATGGTGCTGGTCCATATTTGCAACTGCCCTGCACCCTGGCGGAGCAGCAGCCCAGCCCCACTCTTCCCTCCCTGCACCCTGAGGGAGCAGCAGCCCAGCCCCACTCTTCCCTCCCTGCACCCTGAGGGAACAGCAGCCCAGCCCCACTCTTCCCTCCCTGCACCCTGACGGCCCCTCTCATTCCTGGCAGGAACAGGGGCACCTGTTTTCTGAGAGGCCAGTGGGCTTTCCTCTGTCTCCATGGAAACAAAACTCTTCCAGAGCATCCTGAAGAGGAGGGAGAGCTTCCAGAATTTCCCCTGATTTCTCTCAGAAACCCTTGACTGTCCCTGTGGTGCTGGGGGCCAGAACAGGACACAGGCAGACCCTGGACATCCTACCAGGGACTTATCGTGTGCACACGTGTGTGTATGCCTGTGCTCACGTGCATGTGTTTTAATCACATGCCATAGCAGAACTATTCCACGTCCTTGAGCTATCAATGGTTTTTAAGAGATTTTTGCCTCAGGGTGCACGATCTCACTGGAGAGAGACAGACACAGGGAAAATGGGAGGTCACCCCAAGTGGGAATGGCCACGCCACCATCTCTTCTCTTCCATTCTCCTCCCTGGATCGTGGTTAGGCACACACACTGGCATGACTTGCAAGTCACTGGGTCTGGGACTCAAACTGTGGTCCGCGTAGCTACGCCGCCATCTGCTGGCCCTAAGCGGTAGGTTTTAGAGTTCGCAGGCTAAGTGCAGATAATGAATTGTTTTAATGTGACATTCTGCAAGGATAGACCGGCGTGGGAGGGCACGTTCAGTCCTGAGGCCCCTGGCACACTCCAGGTGTGCATGCGAATGCCAAGAACGCCTGGACCCAGGCTGGCCAGGCCGGCGTGGCTTGTGGCACGGAGACCCTACAGGGCTCCTGGCTCCCTTCAGCGCGTTGCTTTGTCAGGTAGTGGGCAGCTAGTAACCGAGACGTGGCAGCGCAACGCTCTGAGAGGCAGGTAGGTGTTTCAGGGAATGACTTTGGTCTAAACAGATTTCCAGTTCGAGACTAAGCAGGTGGCCTGGTGTCATTTCTGTAAGGCTGTCCTGGAGGTGACAGGCATCACAGCGACAGGGCGCTGGCTCTGGGTCCAGCCACATGGCCACAAGGGACTTAGTCCCAGGACCCACCCCCAGACCCGACCCCGGGCGGCGGTAATGAGCACGTCAGAAAGGGGATGCCATTCCTGCCCGAGTCAGGTGCCCGCGGGGGTGTGCCACAGTGGTCGTCAGAGGCAGCTAGATGTCGAGGACCAGGCTGAGCCCCAGGGCAGGGCCTGATCGATGGGGTTCCTCGGTTACGGGGAATGGAGGCTCTAGCCTGGAGGGCGCCCAGTGACAAAGCCCACGATTTATAATGACGCGACTTGTAAGGCACAGAAAGGGGTCGCTCGGTACCAGGCTGTCTGCTGTCTGTCCTGAGGGCAGGGTGGCCGCCATTCTCTCTCTGGCTCCTGGTCGCGGCCCCGAGGCCTGCAGTCGGTCCTGGAGCTGCAGGCTCTGCTCTCGCAGGGCGTCCACCTGACGCTGCAGTTCGTTGTGCGCGGCCACCCACCACGACTCGCGGCTCAGGAACTCTTCCCGCAGCCCGGCCAGCTGCTGCTGCAGTCGCTGGTACTGGGATGAGAATGTAGGGGGGCGTCAGACAGCACCCGCGAGCTCACCCACAGGGCGCTCGAGCCCCGCTGATGGCTGAGAACTGGGACGAGAATGCAGGGGTCCGTCAGACAGTACCCGCGAGCTCACCCACAGGGCGCTCGAGCCCCGCTGATGGCTGAGAACTGGGACGAGAATGCAGGGGGGCGTCAGACAGCACCCACGAGCTCACCCACAGGGCGCTCGAGCCCCGCTGATGGCTGAGAACTGGGACGAGAATGCAGGGGGGCGTCAGACAGCACCCACGAGCTCACCCACAGGGCGCTCGAGCCCCGCCGATGGCTGAGAGCCACTAGACAGACAGGTCAGACCTGCCGAGCCGCGAGATGACAGCTGGGTCGGCCGTGGTGGCAGCGAGGACAGCATGATCCGTTCTAGGACGTAGTGCCCAGCGCGAATCCCCCCACAGCTACTCCAGGTGGGGACGGTTAGTGCGCTGTCACGGGGAGCGAGTAGGGCTTGCTTTTGTAGTTGTTCTAGGTTTTGCCATAAGGCGTGTGCATTGCTAGAGAGAAACAGTGAGGGGCAAAGCGAGAAACCACCCCCAGGGAAATGGCCACTCCACGGTCTTCTCCAGTCTCCTACTGAGATTTTGGGCACACCTGCGCCCACACCTGGTCCAGGACTAAGCCGGGGTGATCCACGTGGGAGCCAGCACCTTGACCACAACACGTGCTGGCTCCCAGTCAGTGGTCTTGTTAAAATGTTACTCTGGCCAAAAGCGGCTGGCTTCCCTTCTTACTCCTCCCGGGGCGGCATAGCCGGAGTTACGACCACGGGTTCTGAGCGGATTCTGACTTAGCCTCTGTCCTGTGTCACCACAGCCTTCCTGAGTGACCTCAGGTTGCCACCTAACCTCCCTGGCCTCTGTACTCCCCCCAAAACTGTGACACCCAAAGAGCTCACATTATTTTAGAATAAAAGCTGACGCTGAACACAGCGATGTGTGAACACACGGTGCACAATGAAATTAGCGATATTAGTATTCTGTTAGCTCCAGAAACAGTGAAAAAGTAATTGCATTTTAATTTTAAATGAAATCAATACTTTCTCTACTCTCACCCTGAAATCACTCTGCGGATACTATACCCGTGAAGACTAGCACTGAGTGTTTCCGGGGCAGAGGGTGCGCGTGTCAGCCCCGGGACCAGACTGGCCGGCTGTCCAACCTCTGCCCCTTCCCCACATGGAACGGACGACCTGGAGCTCTCAGAGAAAGCAGGGCAGGTTGGGAGGGGAGCAGCTGCCAAGAGGGCACCCAGGCCCAGGCGGGGAGGGTGGTCAGGCAGCAGGTGCACAACGCAAGTGGAGCCTCCGAACCCAGGGACGTCCAGCCAGCAGCATGTCGGTGACACCGGAGACCAGAGTGCTGGTGACTGGGAGGCGCGTCCTGGTTGCTTGCAGCGATGATGCGAGAGCGGCATGAAGAGTCTCGAGGAGGCCCACGCTACCGTGCCCACCCCAGAACGCCGTCTGCCTGGCCCCTGCTTGTCAGTGTCCTGTGGGAGTCCATGGGAACCCGCGGGGCAGGCACTCCTGTGATGACAGCTGGGCACAGCAGGGCAAGGCCAGCCGGGCGGAGAGCGGACGAGCCGGAAGTGCGACGTGAACCCAGAGGGGGCTCTGGGCTGCCCAGTGCGGGCAGGTGTTAAATAAGGCTCTGCTGCGCCAGGTCGAGGGTCAGTCCCAGGCACCTCCTGAGGTCTCCCTGTGCCCAGGAGGCTGGTGGCCCCGATCGAGCAGACAGCAGTCTGAGACCCTGGGGGTGCCTGCCTCCTTCAGCTCCCTTTCTACCGCTCCCTCTCTTCTGGAACAAATAAAAGAAAATACAAACTTGGGAAGCAGAAGCCAGATCAAGCCCAAGCTTCATCCCAGTCCTCCTTGGGCTCAGAGCACCACCGCATCTGCAAATCGCCTGTCACAGGGGCTTCCTCCCCTCTCCCCTCAACACCGCCTTGCAGTCCCCAGACAAGGGATGTACCCACCGCCGGTTGGCGTGTCCTGGGCACCTGTGCACCTGCAGCTGGCGGTGGTGGGGATCTGTGTCAGAACAGCCAGGTTTGTAAACTTGGCGGACAGGCAGAAGCTGATATGGGGCGGGCTGGGAGGAGGCAAGGCAGCACTGAGAAGGAATTGAGGGTGGAGAGGCCTCAGGCTCACGGGACCGCCGAGGCATCTAGGAAGGGCGTGGGTGTAGGGCAAAGGGGCACAGCTTAGCCTCCCTGAGGGCACGGTGCTCAGGCCAGCAACTAAGCCAGCTCTGCTGCTCCTC